GTAGGTAAGTAAGTAAGGAGAAACTAGTAGTTTCTCCCTAATCTTTAAAAAACTGGAAAAAGACTGAGTAACTGCTCTCATAAATCCAGTGTACAGTGTACTTCTGTAGATCAAGACAAGGCTGTAAAAGAACATAAGACTGTAGCTTGCAGACCAAAGCTAGATTTTCCACACAGTACTATCTGACCATTACCCTTCTATTCTTCTCATTATAATTTAAGTAAAGCACAGTCCTGGTCTAAGGCTTCAAAAGGTTCGCCTCTCTGCTTTCTCTGTTTTGGTTGGTTTTATTAATCAGTCAATAGTAGCAATGCCCTTAACTACAGATAGTGTCCGTCTAGTCAAAACACAGAGGAAGTAATTTATTCTTATTTCAAAATTATACTCTAGTATAAAATAAAAATCATCTAATTTCTAGATAATATTACTTTAGGAAAGAATTTTCTTTAGGAAAGAAAATTTCCCTGAAATGTAATTGCAGGTTTTGAATTGGACATTATAGAAAAATAGACAACTTCTCTACTTTCTCTTTTGTTAGCCCTTGGGAATTTTAAATTTAAAAATAAGAAAGGAGGAAGTAATGTCTTACCTTTTAAAAGTAATTTGTTTCATGTTGGTAAGCAGCAGTTTTGCTATTACATATTTATTCACTTCAAAGCATGACCATGCTTCTTCATCTCCAAAGAACAATTTTAGCACTCTACTGTTTTAACACAGTTAAGCTGGAAGGCAGTCAAGGGATGTGAGGAAGTAATTTGTTGTACATTTAATGGTGTGAAGTATCCACCAGGGAAAACTTAAAAGATTTTTCTGTTTCCTCACAAAAGTGTCCATGAGTGAAATTCCAATTTCCTGAGTGGTTCTCTGATTAGCTTTTCACAACTCTGTCCTGTGTCAGACAATTGGCAAGAAAACAAAGATCAGGCTTTTGTTGATATTCACGAACATTACACCTTTATCATCATCCCATTGGTGACGTGTCCCACATTTGCTATGAGGGAAGCTCCACAACTGCTGAGCTTATCTTCAGAAAGCAGTCCTGTGGTGCTCTGTAACTGTGTGAGGCTGGAGCTAATCTGCTGCTTAACTCTGTTCCTGCGGGGATGCCGAGCACTGCAGCAGCTGAGCGCCAGCTCTGCACAGCTCAGGCGCTCCGTGGGCCACGAGCTGCTGCGCATCGGAGCCATCACTCGCCCACTGGTTCCTCAAAGCTCCCCTTGGGCCTCCATCACACAGGAGCCTGCATTAGCTGACTCTTCTGTGGCCCAGGGTTAAAATGAAGCATGTCTTTCCTGAAATCCCCATCTAGTTCTTCCTTAGAAAATGAATGCAAAGCTCAACAAAGAACAAAGCACTGTTTAGAGGAAGCTTTTAAGGGATGCTGTGCTAGAGTTGTACTACACAATTCTCAACACACTGAGTTTAGTTAATAACACAATGGTCCTTTAAGCAATAAAACCTCTTTATTTTTTGAGAGAATTCCTGGAACTGAGGGAGCAGATTGATTTACTTGTAACCTGCACTGAATCGGGTGTTGCATATTAGCGCTGACCTTCTGTCATGAATCTGGTTTAGTATTTACTTTCCATTAAATAGAGAAAGGCTTCCAAAGAGCCCCTTGATGCATCCTTTATGAGACGCTTGTGAGTTGCTACTTGTCTTTGTACCATCATGTCTCTCTGTGTCATGAAGTCAATCTTATCCTTAGTTTTCCTTAAATACTTTCTTTCATAAATACAATGTTCATCACAAAAAAAGGGTGTTTTGATTATTACTAAAATAAAGCTCCTTGGATAAGTGGCTTTATATGAAACTTATATTTTATTTCTGTGAGCAGTGTTTAACCACAAAGAAACTGTCATGCACATCATTCTGCTTGCAAATAGTATTTATATCGCCACCGTGGACATCCTGTTTAAGAAAACAAATATGTGGGATTTTTTTCTTATTTGGACAGCAGGAATAGATGCATGGATTTGCATACTCACAAGGTTCTTGTGTGTTGCAATGAAAATGAAATTATTCTTGTATCAACATGAAAATATATTCTTATATAAAATTCCACACATTCAGTCTTAATGCTAAGGTATTAGGGTTAACTAACAGTTTATTAAGTGCTCTTAGAGATTTCTTCTGTAGATGTAAGCAGAAATTATTTCAGCATTTAGAAAGAGCAGTATGTACTAAAGTGGTAGAGAGTTGGGTTTGCTAGGGCTATTACTTTTAACACGTTTTCTGATTAATTCATTAGTGCGTCATTCCTTAAAAAGGAAATGACTCTTCACGGCAGTAGTCTGAGAAAATCCTGATAATATTTTAATCTACAGTATTTTCAGCAAAGTGCTCAAGGTTTTCAGCAAAAATGTTTATCCGATGGAGTTATCTTTAAAAAAAAATTGCATTAAGTCTGCCTCACTGCATGTCATGCAGAACAAAATTCAATATTTTGGTCAATAACTTGGCAGCAAGATAAAAATGTATGATCTTCCACACCAGGTCAGTTCAAATCCAGGCTCCTGTGTGAAACCATCCCATACAGAAAGTGAAAGGAAAGTTTATATGAAGAAGGCAGGCTTAGTGACATTTTCTCCAGCTTGTAGTAGTCAAGAGCTTTACCAGTTTTAGAACCAAGAAATTTATTTTTGTACTGTCTTTTAAAAAGAACCAAAATCATATGACAGACAAAGACAGTAGAAGGATACATTTGTTCTTTAAGATGTTGAGTCCGAAGGTGTTGTGGATTGCCTTGAAACACAGTGGTGTTCCACTTGCCAGGGGACTTTCAATTTTTTTTAATCAAAGAAGACTCTTTAGTTTGCACTTACCAGATGAGCACAGAGAATTGTGCTTCTATCAACCCAAATAAAATGCCACACTACAAAAAAGCAGTTGAGAATTATTTTTATCCTCTCCCATCCTACCTGTCTACCTCTGTGTCTGGGATCATTATCTGGTGTACTGCAGTACTGGTGTGCTATCACTCTGGAGATTCTGAAGGAAGAGTGAAATCCCTCAGGAGAAAGATAATGGTCACCATAACCGCAATGTTTATGGCTGTTTCTCAGATTCAGTAGCATCAGATGGCTGTGTGTGAGGTAAGTGATGCAGTCCAGTGTCACTGGGGAGCCATATGACATTGCAATGACTTCTGAAAAGTCCCCCTAGGCTGGCTGTTAGTTCCCTAACAAAATAATGCTACTACTCAACAGCACCTAAGGGTCTCCTTTTCTATTGAAATGCCGAAAGAGAAAACAAAGAAGTGAAAGACCTGCATTCTGTAGTTTATAGTATTTGTTTTGTTCTAACTCAAGATAGCTGTACTGAAGGGAAAGAATAAAGAAGCTAGTGATACTGTGAAAATCAGAGGCAAAAAGGGAGACTGTGGCAAGCACTGAGCCAGAGGCTGTAATCAATTAACTGATTGCTGAACTTCAGCCCCCTACATTACATCTGCCAGCAGCAGTGAAAGATGTACCGAAAATTCCCCCTCCCAGAACCACAAAGCCTGTGGAACTCTAGTCATAAATACTTTAAAAGGACAGGGTCTGCTCTAGTATAGATTTCACCACCTTGATAATCAGCAGCCTTTCAGTAGTATCCATTTATAAATAGAAGATCCTTGGAATAGAGAGATGTGAATGCAGATGTCTGACGTAATAAAGCTCAAACTAATCTCCAGTATTTTATTAAGAAATCATTATACTGAACTGCTTCAGGTGAAATCTTTCTCCATTGAAGTTAGCAGCAAAATTCCCTCTGACTTCAGACAGCAAGAAATAAAACCTTTTCAAGACAGTTATTAAGCTGCAGAACAGCTAAAAGGTAAGGAATTAATTTTTATTAAATGGAAATCTATATCTATTTCACAAACATAACTAGAGAAGAGATTCTATTGATTTTTACCTAATTTGTTATATTTACTGATATGAAGAGTCTTTGAAAGTCCTTTTTTATTTTCTGGCAATAACTTCCTATGATTTTTTTTTTTAAATTTTACTTTGGAAACAGTGATTTTAAAAAGAAAATAATAATCTTCTTACAAATAACCTGGCAAGTAACTCAACTTTCACTGCAGCAAACTAAGAAATCCTATCTAGAATGTTGCAATGAGCAACATGGGAAGAGTTTTTTGGCAAGTGTTTCTGACTCACAGTTTAAAGAGATATGTCTGTTTTCAATGCTCTCAGCCAGTTATCCCAGTGCTGGCTTGGCCTAGTCTGATTGCTGGGGCATGTAGTCTGTGTTATGAATTCTATCTGTCTTTTTGCTATACTTATATAACTCTTTAAAATAATTTTAGAAAACACTTTAAAAAGAGCATTGTCAAAAGAGACAGATAAACAACGGATTATCATCATAAATATTCAAACAATTTGTAATCAAATGGAAAAATTGTACTGATGTCAGGATTTAAGGATAGCAAGGCATTTTAGCTTTGTGTACTTCCTTTGGGAAAAGACGTGAACTGGCCACAAAGCCCTTGAAATGCCCTGGAGACAGTTGCAAATGTAGATTGCAAACAGCTCAAGTGAAAGAGAGACTTTTCCCTTGTTGTAATGACTAGGGAAGAATTGATCAAGACCATAAAGGTAAAAGGCACAAGTGAGTGAGAAAGCCATACAATAATAATTCATGAGACATATGAAAGTCAAAGGAAAGAAGAGCAAAATAAAGGCATCAGATTTCAGGAAAGTAGGCTTCAGTAAACAAGAATTGTCTTGTAAAAAATATTAGAATTCAAGAAACCTAGGAATTACTTAAGTGAGCAATATTAAGGGTATAAATCCAAACTAACCCAGAACAGATCGTAAAAGATTTGCTAAATTTTGACCTTTTCAGGCAGCATCTGAAAAGGTAAAGCTGGGTCATTTCCTTAGGGTAGGGAAGCATTGCATAAATGTGATGCCACAGAATTGAAAATTATTAAGTCATGCAATAGATTCCAGTCCCAAAGGCCATGATGATGATAAAATCATCATCACATAAAAAAAAAGGACAAAACCAAATTAAATTAAATTAAATAGCAGTTAAAAAAAAAAAGAAAGAAAAGAAAACCACTCTAGAGATGACTGACATGTTTTTTTTAATACTTTTTCTGAGTCACTCTTATTTATAAGGATGAGAGATGAAATATTACAGCAATGAGTAACAATCGAGAAAATTTAAGATCAAGGCTCTAAGTGGGAAGGAACAGGTTAAATGCCTATTACTGAGTTAGATGTTTTCAATTAGCTGTGATACTTGAAGAATAAGCTGGTGGAATATCAAAGATGATAGAAGTAGCTCTAAAAAGACAAAGACAATTCGTAATGATCAAGAATGAATGCAACAGTGATCTTTGAAAGTAATGTGAAACAATTTTAGGAAATTAGATATACTTTAGTTCCTGGAAGAATACTAGAACAAATAAACTACTTGTAAATGTCTAAAAAACCCCAAGGAAATTATTCACTGTCAATATGGATTTGTCAAAACAAAATTGTATCAGAATAATCTAATTTCCTTCTGTGAGAGAGCAACTGTGGATAGAAAAGAATCAGCAGATGTCACACATAGCTTTTAACACTGCCTCATAATATTCTCATAATTAAGCCAAGGAAGTCTGTTCCAAACAAAAGTATAGAAAGTGGGCACAGAAAGACTTGAATCGCTTTCCTGATAAATCACTTGCCAATAGTTCTCTGTCAAATTGGAATGATTCTGTGAAGTAGTGTATGGTTCAGGCTCTTTTATTTTCCTTCAAGACTGGAGAGAAGTAATTGACATGTGCTTACTAAACCTGCAGGAAGAATCATAGGTTACAACAAATTGGTTGACCTTGCCAGATCTGTGACATTAGTACTCCTATTCACATGTTTATCTCAAGTTCAGAGCAGTAGTTCTTTGTATATATTATGCATAGAAATAAGTATACTCACACTTTGACTGTTTTAGGTGCACGGGGTCACAAAACCATGTTATATTTCCTGTAAAATGTTTGTTACTTTTATATTGGGCATATCTTCCATTAAAAATTTGGTTTGCTTTAAAAGTTTTCTTTAAAAATTGTCATAGCCCCTAATAAATAAAATTAAATTAGCTGTAATTAGTTGAGAATTTTTAAAAAGTAACAAAATTATTAATATTTCAGTGAATTTTGATAATGAACATTGTTATACTTTAAAAGGCTATGAATAGATTATTTTTCATCTTCTCTAGCCCATACCATTTGGCTAGATGTGTGAATAATATTGCTCATTTTCCTTCTTGAATGAAGAAGCAAATATCTTCAGAATAAAGTGAGAATCTTTAGAATAATGCTCCTCACTTTAATTAGTAGCATTCATAATTTGAAATGTTGTTTTTCACTTCCATCTTCATTATCTACTTAAAAGTTGCTGCTCCTATAAATATTTTTCAAATTGCATGGAGGAAGATAAAACATACAAGAATGCCAGGAAAAAAAAAGAAAAGTGTAATGGTTTTTTTTTGAAAGGCAGTTTCACTTTTGGAAACCAATTAGCATATTATTTTTGTATTATTTTTCTGCTTTATAGCTTGCAAAGTTTGCATTGCCCACCAATAGGTGGCACTAATAATTTCTGCATTATCTCCGTAGTTCTGTTGTCTTTCAATGTTGATGGAGTTATATCCTAGTATATCTACCATTTCCATAATCTTTGCTTGATTTTGATTTATATTTAATGTTTAACAAAAAAAATTGTATAAAAATACAGGTGTTAGATACCTATGTATATATTAAATTTATGGGTACAGTACAGATACATTAATAAACTCTAAACAGACAGTGTTTTTTGCCTGAGGGATCAAATATTAATTTGCTCAAAAAACCAAAGCTGTAAATTGCTGATGCACAGCATCTGAAGGGTACATTTAACATTGAAATAAAATGGATAGAGTATATAACTCCAATACAACGTTCATGTTTCTCACTTTCATTTAGTTTATTTCTTGGAGAAAGATTTCAGATGTTGTTTTTAGAGTAGTTGAAGAAAATAGCATCATGCAAGCTGAATCTTATGGTTGTGATCTACCTGGCTACATATGTCTATGACCACTGCTTGATTTCTGAGCACCTGCAATTATCTGTCCTTTACCTGTACGCTCTGATTTCTTTATTTCCCTCTATTTCAGCTTCAGGGTGGCACCATCATATTACAAGAAGTGAAAGGATAAAGCAAAGAAGAGCTGGTTGGCTGAGTTTCCCATGCAACTCCAAGAAGAGTCAAGCCTCTTTTAGCTCACCAGAGACAAAGGCATACATGCAAAGTTTTTAAAAGAGCATAGGCTGCAGTGAAAGCTGGATGCTACCAGCACTAGGTACTTCTCTTCCTCTCTGTCTGAGTAAAACCCAGGTTATGACTTGCTTTCAACATCCTGTCAAGATCTGCTAAGTTCTTTTGTGATCCAGCCTTTGCAGCTGTGCTGCACAAGGTCTTTTATCATGGCTTGTGCTGTGTTGCAGACCCAAAATATACCTGTTGTGCTTAACAGACACTGCAAAAACCATTGTCACTTCAAAGCAGATCTCATTTCTGACAGCAAGGAGATGAAGCCAGTTATTTCAGTAACACAACTTTCAGATCTCAGATTTCAAGATTTCTCAAAAAATTTAGTTGAGCCAATTTTCCTCTTTTAGACTATGCACTAAAAGTCTGCTTTTTGGAAGACTCTTCCCACACCAGCTGTCTTCTGCTGTATCACTGCAGCACTGGCTGTGGTAGGCATGCTGGGATGGGAAAGAGATGTCAAATAGAGAGGAGACAGATATGCACATAGGAGAACTGAACTTATCAGTAGTATATAGCAATTAAAGGTATCTTAGACACACCCAGTGATTACAGGAAGATGGATGTTTCTACCATATTTCCCTGTGAGATGAGTGTATGCTTTGAAATTTCTGGTAGGAAAGAAAGGCGGCAGCAATAAAGTTAGCACACAAACACCATCTGTGAAAGCCAGAAAGCATCTATAGATCCTCTGCCTGCTAGAGGCTTATTACATCATGTATGAGAAGGGATAGAAAAAACCCAGAAAGAGGAAGGAGAGAGGGAAATACAGACTAAGCCTTCCCCCACCTCCCTAAAAGAAGCATGATAAAACTAAGAAGTAAATATGAATTAAAAAATACTGTACAGACCATCTGAACACTGATATGTTACTGCCATACAAATCATATGCATTTTCCATGTTGTGTAGATAAAATGAATTATTGCCAATTAACACAAAGCTTCAGCCTGAGGCACTATCCATGCATATGTAAAAACTACATCTATCCTGAAGACACAATTTAAATAGAAAACCTGTAAGAAGATTGTACTCCTAACAAGGAGGGAATATGCTGCGAGTCAGGAGAATTTTTCTGGAAACCTGTAAAACACATCTATTGCCTACAGAAATGAGCAATAATAAATGCCTTCAGCTCATGCTCCTTGTTTGGTACCAATCTTTAAGTCAGTTCCCTGGATTCCTCTGTCTCTTCCCAATAAACATCACTTAACATATCTATTTTCTTCCCACTGTGCTCTACTCCCCGTACACACCAGCAAGCAACACCTGAATTTACATGAGAATACAAAGACAGAGTCATCTAAGGTGAAACTTTGATTATCCCAGTGGTAAGTTTCCATCATTTCACCCAACTACAATGACTCCAGCTCTCTGGGACATTTCTCTTCCCAGGGACACTCACTTTTCCTTCTGTGTTATGCAATATCAGTAAAGAAAATTATACTACAAGGTCATCTCTGGTGCTGTTGATTACAAAGTTCTCAGTGGAGGTGGTCTTTGAGGAAGCTTTGTTAAGCATGTACTTGTTGCCATAACCAGAACAGCTCTCCCCGCCTTCTTTTTATTATTTTTTTTTTTCCTCATTACCCTCCACTCTGCTGGTTTATGCTTTACATATCCTCTAAAGACCTCTCAGAGTGTAATTTAATTGCTGCTGGGGGAAGAAAAGTGCCCATGAATGGAAAATTCTACTTTTTGCTCTTTCTAGTAGAACATAGCAGATAATATTTTTCTCTGGAGACTTCTTTTTATTTATTGATAGAAGGTATCCATCCCAGTTCACCATTTCTATGCCTGTACCTTCACTTGTATTTTTCATTTTGAGCACTTCATATACATGCTGTTAACTGTGGATTGCAGTCTTACATGGTTTTATCACTGTAATGCCATGATGAATTGGGAAATGTCACTGTACTGACTTTATAGGCAACACATTAAGCATCAATACATTGTGAGCTCAGGCTTGTGGAAAAGCCATTCATTACAAATGTGCTAATTCTTTATAGGCATATGCAAAGCTTGTCCCAAATGCAGGATAACTCAGATCTGGCTTTTCCTGGGATGGTACTGTAACATACTTTAAAATAACAGAAAGAAATTAAATGTTACCTTCTTTTACTATATACTAAGTTTATGTTAAACATCTAGCCATTTTTGTTGACTTTATTTTTATAACATTTTACCCTATTTTTTTACTAATTGTCCCAAATTTACAATGAAAAATGTAGCAAAAAAGAAATGGAAACTTATTTTTCTTTTATCTTAGGCTGACTGATGGAATATCTTTGCCTTCATTTCTTTCAGTATTTTTGGATGTGATTCTTGATTTAATATAGCATCTTTCATGCTTAGGCATCTCAGAGGGTGTTTAACAAAAAAAATAACACCACATCTGCTGCAGTGTAATTCAAGGTGTGTAGGATTGAAAGGATAGAGGAAAGAAAGCATATTTCAAAAGGACAGCATGAGAAAAAGAGGAATACATTAGCTATCATTTTTACTTTAAAATCTTGTGTTTCAGAACCATGAGGTGAAGCAAATTACACATAAACTCAGCTAGTAGTGTTGATATAAGAGATTTTGTTGTGACAACATAGGAGTAAATACCATAGGTATATTCATGAATATAAAATTTGATATGTAGCAAATGCCTGTTTAAGAACAAACCTAATGTTTGTTCCTAATGTAGATTTTGGAAATATTGGCTGACATATTTGGCAATGCACTGTCAGGATGAATTAGATCCCACCTTTACTCACAGAACGAGAAAAAACTGTCTTGCTCTGTTGCAGACTGCAACCCATTGTCTGTGCCTCACGGGTGGCAAAAGAATGACCCAGGCACAAAGAAATATGTCATGCCAAAGGTAAATTGATGATGTAAGCAACACAATTAAAAAGGATTGCTCATTATTGGTCCAAAATACAACAGACATAATTCCCTCTTGGCTAGGTTTTGGACTCTCCACCCTGAGTAAATTCTCAACACACATCTATGCCATGCCTGCACCTATTTCTAGTCAGCTTTATCTTTTGTAAAGTATCAGTTTGGGCCTACCACTTTGCAGTCTTCATTATATTTAACACCAATATCTCAAAAAAAGGAAAGTGGAAGTAACAGTACAATAAAGCACAAAATAAGCAATTGCATAACCTAAATTTAAACACTGCCCTTTAGATTTGAAACAACAAAATAAAACAAAACAACCAAAACCAAAAGCTAAATACCAAAAAACAAAACAAAACAACAAGAAGAAACTAAATTAGGGAAAATTTAGGGACACACTTCTCTCCATACAGCAGATGAGAAGGGTTTAGGAATTGAAAATGGTATTCAAAACTATGATATAAATCAGAATATTAAGTCAGAATAGCTGTGATAAAAGTTGAAGTACACCTGAAATTTTGTTCCTCTTGAGGAATTCCAGTATTTATCTCAGGTTGTACTAAGATGCATTCATGAATCTCAGTCAATGGCTCATACAGAGATTTTTTTTTTTATTTTGGCAGAAATTCACTAAGGAAAATCTAAAATCCCAAAGAGCCTAATTAATTAGGAGATTTGCTTCTTAGCAAAAATGACTAATTTATCATACATCCTTGCTCAGAAAAATCATAGGTAACCAGGGGCATAATTCCTTGTTTAGCTGAAACATGAATGTTGGGAACCCAGAATTGTTTTAATACAGGGCGTTTTGTTATACTCGCTTCATGCTGAAGTTTTAATAATAGTATAACCACAGTAATTACATAGCAACTGCTAATGTGAACATAACACACGTAATGGAGAGATGTGTATAGCCTGTAGAAATTAAGTGCCAAGGGTGGGCTTTGTCTCATCTAATTTTAGAGCTCTAAAGTGTTCATGTCTGTCTTCAAGCTGGTCATCCTTAGACTTCTCAAAAGAGGAAAACAGGTATTCCTTGATATACAGCTGACCTATTTCAAATTTCTGCTTTGAGACAGTGTGAACTGTACCCTAAAAGTCCACCATCTTTCTCCAGAGAGATGAGGGTTTAGCTGGAATGTAGATGTACATGCTATAGACGTGTACGTTTCACCAAAATATGGTCTACCCACATTGTATTATCTGAGTTTATTAGGAAATCCTTTGTAAAAATCCCAAACACATAAGATAAATAAGTATTAAAAATTTATTCCTTGGAACACTCCTCTAGGCAATATTTATACTTACTGTGCTATCAGTCCCCTGGCAATATAAGGTTATGAAAAAGGAAGTGAAGCACAGAGCAGTCTGTGGAGAACAAAATTTAAGTAAATCTGAATTTTTTCCAAATTAGTGATTCAGAATCTATTGTCCTAGACTCTGAAACTCATATGGCAATTTTAGACTGGTTTAGTTAGACTTGAAACCCATGAAAACATTCGATTTTGTTCAAGGAGTCTAAATCAAGTGTTAGTCATGAAATATCGTTGCAAAGTGGGATTTGGGAAAATTTCCTCTTGTTACCACAAATAAAAATTGCATACAAAGTTCTGAAAGAAAGCACAACTGCTTTTTCCTAAAACAATTTCACCAGGGCATGAATGATGTTATGTTTTTCATGACAACGTGAGGGATTTTTTTTTTTTTTTTTGTAATTGTTTCATCAGCTGTATTATTTTTCCTTTCTAACTTATAACTTCTACAGTGAAAGCTGAGTTTTGGACATGATACACAACCTGTGTATGTAAATGACAATGGATTATTGATGTTCTTATTTTCTCTTTCAAAGCTGAAAATATATTTTTTTAAAAATCAATAAAATATCCGAAACTGTCTGACATAACCAACTTAATAGGTGTTGTAATTAAAATCCTGGTCAGTGCTAGATCCTCCAGATGTTACAATTAGTTCTGTGAATTGGCCTAGTCTGGGAATTGTCTCTGTATATTGACCTTCCTTTTCCAGGACAGGTTCTTTGTTTGAACTATACACAAATTTGAAAAAAAGAAAAATTGTGATATCTGATATCAGATTACTATCAATGATGTCAGAGACAAATATGATTGAAGTAACTCAGACTCAGTATTTTGCCAGTAACATTGCTGGTACACTCTGCAGTACACTC